TATGAATCTTGCTAAACCAAATATAGCTTCACTGTTTGTCCATGTCAAGTGTTCATCTCCTTTACTGTTCTTTGTGCACAGAACCTGCCATTTGATCCTCAGGGTACAAGTCACACCTTGTCATCAACTCCTTGTCAGTTCTACAAGGCTGTGTTACTCTTCATAATGCCTTGATCACATTTTGCAACCCATCAGTTTTTACTGTTGACCTGGACTAATGTGAAGATCAAGAACAACATTTGCTTGCTTGTTGTTGTGAGCAGACAGTGTACCATGGTGCAACAGTGCCCAGCCAGAAGCAGTGTAAAGATACTAGTTCAAGTGCAGGCAAATCACTTCTAGCAGCGAGACTGGGGATGGTAGGAACAGCTTTCTGTTGTCACGGTGTAACTGGTCAAACCTGGACGCCTGTAGTGGGTTCAAGAATAACAACATGTTTTAGTTCTGTCAAGACACACTGATGAATGAAACATAGCTCTTCCTGGAAAAGGAAACTGTCCCCATTTAATTAGGAGTCCCAAACCTAGTACTAATGAAGCACTATGCTCTGGTATCTGACAGGTGACATCTCCTGCCTGATACATCTGTTATGTTTCCTTGTATTTTTAAAAAATAATAATGTGATTATAATGCACAATTCTGCTTCTTCTGGGACTGAGCCAACTTTTGATCATACTGTAAACTCAGGATAGGATGGACCAGAAAATTAGGACTTTGTATTCAGTTCTTTCTCCTCTCACTATTGCCCTAAGCAAAAGTGAGGAAATTTGGCATCTCTTTTGTAAGCTTTTCCTAAAATTTCCTACTTTTTATTTCCTGTAATTTCTAATTTATCTGTATATTTTATGTCTTTCATATCTGCCTTTCATATTATTCTCTAGTAGAGGTTGGACTGTTGCTCAAAATCTCATTTGGTATTGTTTTTCTAATGCCTCACCCATTAAGTTGTTAAGTTGTTTAAGTCAACACAGCTTGACTTAAAGCAAAATTTGAAAGATTATATGTTTCTAATGTTAAAAGCCTTACCAGTGGGGCATTTGCCAACCATCTTTTTGTAACATTAATTCTCAAACAGGGAAGATAATGTCTAAGCACTTGACCTCAGCATAGCTAAGTACACAGGCTTCAGTACTTGTGCAGATGCAAATATATAATACGCTTCATTCTCTGCCATGCTTTGAGTTTGAACAGAGTGAAAAAGTGTAAAGCAAAGCTAGAATAGCAACATCTGACACATCTGACTGCAGCTCTAGGTCCTTTGATTACTTACTTTTAAATCTCCCTGTACAATGAAAATCATTCAAGCAAAAACATGGACAAATTCAAAATAAGTATAAAAGCAGCTACAGTTAAGTAGTTAATCTAGACTTGGACTAGCCTTCACATTTCTTCAGAGCTTATCCTGAAAAGAACAAAACATTTCATCTTTCAGAGGCAGCAACTGAGACTGTGATGTTATCTTTTGAACAGTGCAGCTTTGAACAGTGACATTTATTCTGACGTCCACATTCATTCCTGTCCTTAGCTTCATGCTGAAAGACTGACTTCATTCATATTTGCAGATATTCTTTTGTCACTGTTATTCGACCTTTACCTTGAGGCTTTCTTTTTCCCCATAGAAAAGTGTTTTTATGAAATTTGGTCCATTGAATTTCATGATCACTTCTGAAAGCAAAGTGCACTTTATGATAGCTTTATCTCTGCAACAAAGAGTATCTGTTAACAGAGGGATCTGATCAATGCAGGTTCAAATATTTAAAAAGTTGTCACTGGTTGTCACAGATCTTTATGAAGTCATTTGAGGACATAAAGGTGAACATGAAACATGAGGTGATTCTAGCCAATCTAAACACAAGGCTTTTCTAACTACTGTGATGAAGCCTGGGTTTTTCCCTGCTTTTTTACTTACCTGTTCTTCACAGAAAATATAAATAACTGATACATAAAAATGAGTAATAATTCCTTTCCTTTTTTTTAAAAAAAACACAACATCATAAGTGAACAGTAGTACGAGATAGGGAAACAATAGAAATAGTTGACAGGAAAAAACAATCAAGTGATTGTGAAGACAGTCTGATTGATAAACAGGTTGACCTGCTAAGATTTCCAAAAGAGAAATGTTGCTCTGTACAAGTGCAGCATGTCCTCAGTGCTGGTCTTTGACTGCAGAAGAGAAAATAATTCCTGGGAGGAAGGGACAAAGCTCAAAAGAGGTTGAAGAGCTATGTTTTAGCAATGCTACCTAGCAAAAATGAAGTAGCAAGGGAGAAACATAAATGTATTTACTGAGTAGAAATATAGGAGTTTAGATGATGTCCCCTCAGCTGTCCTGTTCCCTCAAACAGATCCAGCAGTTGCTGCTTGTCTTAATCATCCTTTGCAAGAGCCCAATTATTTTCTCCATTTCCCTTCATTCTCAGTCATGTTCCTGACATATGGTTCCCGTATTTTCCTGTGAAAAGGAGACTGTGAAGAAGTGAAAATCTTGAAACCTGTCATGCTCCTCTTCCTTCCCAGAGCAATGGATTCCTCTTCAGTGCCATTTAAAAAGTAAAGGAGTCAAAGCAGTAGCAGAGAGCCAGAAAGAGGATGGGAAGGATCTTAGAGTGGCAGTTGTTGGGTTCCCACTGAGTTGTGCATGGCTGAAGGGAGCAGTGTCTACTGCCTGGATTAAACTCTCCTTTGTTCTAAGTAATTTAAAGGTGTCAAGTTATTAAGAAAAATAAAAATTACCTATACTTAATGAAAGGAAATGATTGAAATCATTCCAAATTACAGAGACACTGTAAGATTAGACTGAAAAGTAAGAAGAATTGGTTTTAGTTTTGTTAATTAGTTTTCATTTTCTGCACTGTCCGCTTACCAGGATAAATGCAACAGTACCTTTACAACCCCTATTTATCCCACTTTCAAATAATTCAGGAATTTTCCATGGCAAGATCACACCAGTCCATCACAACAATTAGCAGTAACATGGTGTGTTACCTGACTCAATATCTTGTGACAACTAGCCTATTGATGAGAAACACTGGGCTCACTGCTGCTCTCCCTAGTGTTTTGCAGCCTGCTGTTCAGTTTGGTGTTTCTACATTCTTCTGCTTGGTGCAAGAAAATTATGGAAGGGTAAAAATTTTGTTAGAAAAATACTTACTTGTAATATAGGATTTCTTGGCTTTCTTGATTCCCAAGATAGGTGGAAAGTAACATTATGTTTCAGATAAGGAGACTTGTTGCAGGAGGAAGGAAGGAAGGAAGGAAGGAAGGAAGGAAGGAAGGAAGGAAGGAAGGAAGGAAGGCAGGAAGGAAGGA